TCATGACTTGTGGACTTCAACTCCCAGAATTCCTCAGCCAGCAGGGCTAAGCATGGAAACCTCTCCCTTTCCCCTCAACATGGCTGGCTCAGGAATTCTGGGAGTTGAAGTCCACGAGTCATAAAAGAGCCAAGGTGGCCTACCCCTGGCCTGGAGTCTTAGGTGGCCAAGGGTGTCTTACATCACGGATCTCTCTCGTTTGCTGGAGAGGAAAACCACTTACTCGCTCTCTGCCTTGAGGATCACCTCCGTGCTTTCGTCTCTGTGGTTCTGGGCTATGGAGAGGCAGAAGGTCCATCCTGGGAGCCCTAAGGGTTTGGCTCTGAAAAGCTCAGCTTTGACGTGACCCGTCCAGGCGTAGTCCTTCACTAAGAAGCGCCCGTCTCTGGAAGGAAGAGAAAGGAGGGAGGCCTTTTAGGCTTTGGGACCAGGCTGGATCCCCCCTACCTAGCGGGTAGATTTCCCCGGACTCCGGATTCCTAAATAGCCCGGGTGAGGGTCTTCTGACGCAGAGGGGGACTTACTCCTTGACGTGAGAGAGCAGCAGTAAGTCGTTGAAGAGATGCAGATGGATGGGCTTCATGGTGACCTGGGGCCGATAGCCGAGTCCGGCCTCTTGAACCAGGACCTGCCGGAGTTCTCCTTCGCGAACCAGCCAGCGGCCTTGGCTGAAATGAGGAAGGGGCTGGAGAAAGGAAGGATGGAGGCTCAGCTTCCTTAAGGAAAATAGGAGAGCAGCCCAGGTGGGCATCTCTAGGGGCTCTTAGTAGGGCTTGTGGCAGAGAATCTGATCCGGGTGTGGGGCCTGATGGGAGGCAGGGGCCGCGAGAATTAAACGGGGGGACTTTGGCTTACGGTTCAGCTTTCCCTCCAAATAAATGTGCGTTTTCCCCTTCAAAAATAAACAACAACAAAGCAAAACGGAGCCTCAGCAAGTGTGTTTTTCAAAAGAGAGTAGCGGCTTGGAATTCCCGTCATTATTTCCCCTTGAAGTAAAATTCAGACTCATTTGCAAATAGTTTGGCCAGCTTTTTTGAGTCTGGCCTCGCAGGAGGAACGGGCAACACACTTTGTTCCCTATAAATTGCCAAGACTGGCAACCCTATCGACCAGTTGGCAGAGACATTGGCACTGGCACGTAGGCAAGCAGAAAGATGAAAAGGGGACACAGCAGAGATGCAACTTTTCTGGATTCGACCAGGATGAGTCATTTTTCTCGCCCAGCATCCTGCTAGTCAAACACTTTGAAGAATCGTATTGGTAGACCATAAACAGAATATTCTCCTCGGCTTGACAGCCTGTGAAAATGCAGAACTGCGCCTTCTACTGTCTTTTCATTTGTCCTCCCCCCTCCCCAAGTATTTTTATCCAAGCAGTTTCGCGGCTGATCAATATTCTTTTAGAAACAACGGCCATTTCTTTAAAACCCCGAAGGAAACCGGACTGGCGTAACCCTTTATGCCAGATTACAGCATTCCCATCTATAAATTAACGATGGTCATGCGATAACTTTTCACAGGCGTGAAAGGTCAACTCACGTTGACCTTGGAGAAGTCCATCCGTTTTTCCAGCGACACCAACTCCTCTTTCTGCTTCATGAGTTGGACATTCTCGTTGCACTGGGACACAATCTGGAAAAGGGCAGGAAGAGGTTTGTCTCGCACGGAGACCGCCGCACTGGGCCGAGGCTGGAGGAGCCTTACGGTCAAGGAGGAAGAATGGAAAGAAGGAGCCACGAAACGGAAACGTGGAAGGATCTCCCCGGGAGCACTTACCTCCCCCACGGCCTCATGGGCCAAGCCCACTGATTTTGCCAGCTCAGAATCGGGTCTGGTCCACTTCAGGATGTTCTGACATGGAGGGAGAGAAAGCACAGGCATGTCAAATGGGTCACCCGGTTCTCTTTTTCTACTTCTTCTCCTAGGCAAGGAAGGACCCTGGAGCTGAGTTCCGTTTCACGGGGGAAGCCAGAGGGAGCCACCGCCTGGGGGTCAGCTATTCGGGGCCTCAACCATCAGGCCCCATGCAAAAGTACAGCGCGCTCTGTCCCCGTCACCAAACAAGCGCAGCCAGTTTCTGCCATGCAGGGCGGAGGGGATATTTTCCAGGCAGCGTTGCTTTTCTCTATCCCCCTAAATAAGCCCTGGGATTTCCTTCTGGGATTGACCTGGATAACCTCATCTCGTCTTGGAAACTAGGTGGGAGTCAAGCCTGGTTGCTACTCAAGTGGAAATGGAGGTAGTAACAGATTTTATCTTCCTGGGCTCCAAGATCACCACAGATGGGGACTGCAGCCAAGAAATTAAAAGACGCTTGCTCCTGGGGAGGAAAGCTATGGCAAATCTAAACAGCATACTCAAAAGCAGAGACATCACCCTGCCAACAAAAGTGCATATGGTCAAGGCCATGGTTTTCCCAGTTGCAATGTATGGCTGTGAAAGTTGGACCGTAAGAAAGGCTGAGCGCCAAAGAATGGAGGCCTTTGGACTCTGGTGCTGGAGAAGACTCCTGCGAGTCCCCTGGACTGCAAGGCGATCCAACCGGTCAGTCCTAGAGGAGATCAACCCCGACTGCTCTTTAGAAGGCCAGATCCTAAAGTTGAACCTCAAGTCCTTTGGCCACCTAATGAGAAGGAAGGACTCCCTGAAGAAGAGCCTAATGCTGGGAAAGATGGAGGGCAATAGAAGAATAAAGGGATGACAGAGAATGAGGGGGCTGGATGGAGTCCCTGAAGCAGTAGGCCTGAGCTTAAATGGACTCCAGAAGATGGTAGAGGACAGGAAGGCCTGGAGGAATGTTGTCCATGGGGTCGCGATGGGTTGGACACAACTTCGCAACTAACAACAACAGGCCAGACCCAAAGGCTAGAAAAACACCCTGAAAATGGAGAGTCGGAATCCCTTTTGCACGGTCCTATCCATGCATTCAGCAGAAGCTGACCTCAACGGAAAGGTGTCTTCACCTTAAAACAAAAACGCCTTTGGGGGTGGCCCTTGAGGAGAAGGGAAATAAATTGCTCTGGAACCAGTAAGTGAAATAAGCATTCTTTCCCCCCCCACACACACACACCTGCAGAAGGATTTTGAGCCGAGTGATCCTCTGAAAGGGCAACACCAGGAAGGATTTCAGGGGCTGCCTCTGGCAGATGGGATGCTCCTCCAGTGCGCGCAGGACCTGCGTGAAGCGGCTGTTCCCCTTCCTGGCTTGGTGGAGGGAACAAAGAGAAGTTTCAGGGGGGCCCCCCAGTGCGCTAATGCACGCCCCCAAAGGTGACCTCAGCTCAGGAAAGGTAGGCATAAGGTGGATGTAGAATGGGAGCTAAAATTGGCTCTGTTGAACCCCGTCTTGAGTGTGAATCTGTGGGACCCGTCAAGGAGATGCTTTGTCTAGTGCAGCCGGCCACCAACGGACCAAAAGAGGGAGTCAAGCTATTCTCCAAAGCGCCTGAAGGCTGGACAAGAAGCAACGGATGGAAACTAATCAAGGAGAGAAGCAACCTAGAACTAAGGAGAAACTTCCTGACAGTGAGAACAATTAACCAGTGGAACAACCTGCCTCCAGAAGCGGTGAAGGCTCCAATACTGGACGTTTTTAAGAAGAGACTGGACAGCCATTTGTCTGAAATGGTATAGGGTTTCCTGCCTGAGCAGCGGGTTGGACTAGATGACCTCCAAGGTCCCTTCCAGCTCTGTTTATTCTGCTACTTTCCTTTCCTTTCCTTTCCTTTCCTTTCCTTTCCTTTCCTTTCCTTTCCTTTCCTTTCCTTTCCCTTCCTTCCTTCCTCATCACTGGAGGTTTTTAAGAAGAGATTGGACAGCCATTTGTCTGAAATGGTGTAGGGTTTCCTGCCTGAGCAGGGGGTTGGACTAGATGACCTCCAAGGTCCCTTCCAACTTTATTATTATTATTACTAGTCCTTTGTTGCACCCTGTGACCCTCCCAACTCTCCTGTCACTCTGCGTCCCCTCTGCTCCTCACATCAGCCATTGCATGAGCTGCTCCTGATACATCTGGTTGGTGACGTAGGGAACGTAAACCCGGTGGAAAGCCGGACAGTGTTTCAGGATCACTTCCCCGAGACACGGCAAGAAGACATCCTGGTCCAGGTGATCCTCCAGCTGCAGCAGAAACCTGCAGGGGGCAGAGAGGAGGAGGAGGAGGAGGAGGAAGGGGAGCAAGAGGACCGTGTGGGTGTGGGATGCCCTGCAGGTGATTGTCCCAGGAGGCTTCCAAAGGCCTTGGCGGGTTAAGGAAGAGGCGCAGAAGAGCGAGGGGGTGGCCCTACCTCTCACTGGTGTCCTTGACTTGGGAGAGATTGGAGAAGAGCTGCTGCAGTTGGGCCCCGGTGAGAGCCCCGCGCAAGGCCGGAGACAGCTGGAAGTGGAAGAGGGCCACCCGGAGGCTGCGCAGGTAGGAGGCCTCGGACGTGATCACCTCGAACATGGCCTGCCATGGAGACAAAGGCAGGCGGGGCTGCTGGGAGCGGAAACGGATCTTGCCAAACCCAGGGATTAGTCCTACGCTGCCTGTCAAACCAAGGTTGCGGGGAGGGATTGGATTCCTCAGCGTGCCTGGCTGAGGAATTCTGGGAGTTGAAGTCCCCAAGTCATCAAAGGGCCAACTTTGAAGACCCCTGGTATAGACTCTCCTGCTTGAGCAGGGGGTTGGGCTAGATGACCTCCAAGGTATCCCTTTATGTTCTAGCTCAAGGGTCTTTAAACATGGCCCTTTGATGACTCGTGGACTTCAACTCCCAGAATTCCTCAGTTGAAGTCCACAAGTCATGAAGGGGCCTTAGTTCCTCCATGCTGGCTGAGGCATTCTGGGAGTTGAAGTCCACAAGTCATGAAAGGGCCTTAGTTCCTCCATGCTGGCTGAGGCATTCTGGGAGTTGAAGTCTACAAGTCATCAAAGGGCCACGTTTGAAGACCCCTGCTCTACTAAGGGCAGCAAACTGTGGACAAAACGATGCTATTAATTAAGAAATTCTCCTCCTTTGCCTTCTTCTCTCAGCCGGGGCTTGGACCCGATCGGTTGTCCCGATTGCCCAGATTTTGCCTCCTGCCTCTCTCAGGTGCATCAAGTCTCGGCTGCTGCCTGGGCCCTCTCTTCCCCCCCTGCCCTCCCGCATGTGCATTTCTCGGGTACCTCCTGCAGGTGGCGCTGCTGTGCTGGGAGTCCCTCCAGCAGCCCTCTGCTTTTCACCTCCGGGATCTCCTGCCAGAAGGAGAAGCTGTAATCCCGCTGGGGGGAGAGCGAGGCAGCCCCTAGCAGGGCGGAGGAGAGCAGGGCGGTGGTGGAGAAGGCGGCACCCACCGGGCAGGCCTGGGGCTGCTTCTCTGGCGCCTTCAGCCGGTTCATCCCAGGGGTTTGAGAGACGGGCTCTAACCGGAAAAGCGGGACAGAGGGAGACACTCAGTCCAGCATCCCAGAAGCGGTGGGACCCCTGCCAGCCCACCTTTCTCAGTAACTCCGTGTGTTGCTGCGTTACCTCTGCCCAGAGAGCCTCATCCTCTTTACAGGACAAGAGGAAGAGGATCCCCCGGGCATCGCTGGCGGCTGGGATCCTTCCTTCCACCCCAGAGACCACCCCAGGGCATTTACGCACCGTCTTTTGATCCTCTCTGCTGATGGTCAGCTTCCTTCGCCCCTTTTCCAGAGCTTCTCCAGAGTATTCTAGAAGCAAGAGAGAGAGAGAAAGAGACGTTGGGGAGATGTTGGCCGTCCTAGTTGCCTCCTGTCCCACCGTTCGGTAGAGTTGCAAAATGCCTTCGGATTCCCTTTGGGCAAAAGATGCCAAGCCTCTCCCGGTGCTGTTGTTGTTTTACGAAGATCTCAAGAGATGCACAGGTGAATTACACAGGGAGAGCGGCATTGTCGAAAAGCTCTTTTTTTCTATGGATAGCTTAGCTTGGCGTCTTGCTGATGGCAAGAATTCACGTAGTAACTCAATGACAGTTTGTTTAGTGACGGTTTAACGTTACAACGGCACTTTAAAAAGGGCCTTATGACTAATTTTCACACTTATGACCATTACCGCCTCCCCATGATCACGCGATTTGCATTCAGACCCTTGGCGACCGACTCCCCATTTATGACAATTGCAGCGTCCCCGGGGGGATCACGCGATCCCCTTTTTGCGACCTTCTGACAGGCGAAGTCAAGGGGGGAAGCCAGATTCACTTAACAACCGTGCTACTAATTTAACAACGGCAGTGATTCACTTAACAAATGCGGCAAGAAAAGTCGTAAAGCTTGCTTAACAAGTTTCTCATTTAGCAAGATAAATTCTGGTCTTCAAGTCAAGGGACGACCTCTACTGCCAAAACAGTAACGTAGCCAATCAGTTCCGGCAACAAAATCCGAAGGCGGCATTTTTCCCAGAGCCACAAGGGGAAACTGAGGAACACTGGACAGCCGTGCTTGGGGAGGGTTACTGCCTAGCCTAAGCAAAGCATCTTCTGCATGGCTTGGTTCTCCCCCCCTCCCCCCCTCCCTGCCCAGGTGAGCAATGGAGGATACCTGGTGCCCGGGCGTAGCCGTGGCTGCGCCCTGACCTCGGGCAGGCTCTCCCGGGGAGCACGAGGGGCCGGATTCTGGGACGCCATTGCCGGGGACCTCTGTGCGGGCTCCGGGGTCTCTGATAGGCCTGGCAGCTGGGCGATGGCAGAGAAGGACAGCCGCCTTTGTGCGTCCTGCGTGCCGCACAGCTAGATGCTGTCAGTCCGGAAGGAGACGCTGCGAAAAGGGAGCAGAACACCCACACGCACACCCACACCAGATGGCTCCTCGGCTCCTGTTGGGAAAAGGAAGCTGGTGTGTGCCTCGGTTGTCAAAACACAAAAGTCTCCCGGGGTTTCTTCTTCTGCCACTGACTGCAAAAGTTGTTGGCTTTTATTTCAGTGGATGGGGAAAACAAGGCTTAGCAGCTCCCCCCCCCCTCTGTGGGTTAGGGATGGGCAACGCAGAGAAGTGGTCGCTGCCCCTTGTGTCTGTGAAGGCTGGGCTGCCAGATGTTGGAAGAGAGCAGGAAAGGAGATCCTCCAATGGAGGCAGAATGTGTGTTTTCCCCCCCTCCCCTCCTAACTCCTTCCTCTTCCTCCTCCCTCCACTGAATCCTCAGCCCTGTAATTATCCATCCCTTGTGGGAGGGAGTTTGGAGGAGTTTTCCTGGGGGGTAGGGGGGAGAGAAAGGGCAGCAGGAGGGAGGCTGCCATTTGACATCTCGGTGGCTCTGCTATATGGAGCAGATCCCCTCTTGCACCCCACTGCAGTGATGGCGAACCTTTTAGAGACTGAGTGCCCAAACTGCAACCCAAAACCCACTTATGCATGGTCGGGTGCCGGGTGGGTGTGGCCCATTTGGGTGGGCGTGGCTGTGGTGGTAACAGCAGACTGGGTGGGACTAAAAAGCTCAATCAATTCCAACTTTGCAAGATCTTTTTTTTTCCCGCGAGAAGTTGAAATTGACTGATTGATTGAACCTTTTTTTCTTTTTTGCACACGGCGGCGGAGGCCTAAAGCGAAAAGGTTTTATAAAACCCAGCGGAAGGCCTAGGACTGGGGCGACGGCGCGTGTGCGTGCCCACAGAGAGGGCTCTGAGTGCCGCCTCTGGCACCCGTGCCATAGGTTCGCCACCTCTGCCCCATTGCAAGGATACCTCTGTTCCCCCCCACCACTGCTGTCTTGAGCTGCGTAGCCTTTGAGAAAAGGCCCAAGGGGTTACTCAACTAGAGAATGGGAAAGAGCTTGTTTGTGCCCGGGGGACGCTGGCTGGCGGGTCTGCTTTGGGGAAGCACAATTGGGGACAGGGACATCCATAAGGTGGGGGGACCCTCCGGGGCAGGAGGATGGTGTGCCCTGGATCAGAGGGCAAGCTGTCCTTCTTCAAACAGGCCTCCAAGCCCTTCTGCACCTGCTTGCAGAGGCTTTAGGAATGCCAGCATCTTGACCTCTGTCGTCTCCGCGTCTCCCTGTCCTGCCTTTCTAATGGGGTTGGTTACTGAGCTTTCTCTGCAATGAAATGGCTTTATTGGCCAGAGGGATTCTTGGCAGCCACCTTCTCCAGCTTTATAAGTCTAGTTCTTTTTGGCAAAAATCAGTGAAAAGCTTCCGACGAAGGCAGATTCTCGCTTTCCTGGCAGTTCTGCCCTACGCAGGACCGAAGGTGGCGGCTTCTTCTGAGCCGGTTCTTGTGTGGGAGGAACTGCTTTTTCCCTTCAATCATGCTCCAGACTGGCACGGAAATAACCGGCCGCTTTGAAGCGGCACACGGGAGTGTTCAGTCATGTTGGCATCCCATTAGCTTGTTTGTCCAGCTGCCATTTCTCACCGGGAGCCAGAGAAGGGCCCTCGGCCTGTGCGAGCCCAAGACCTCTGGCCTTTGGGAAGTGGGGAGCAATTTAAATCCCTCCCTCCCTCCTTTCGCTTTCACCCCAAGATTCAGCAGGTGAAGCTGTTGATTTTCCCAGCAGTTGGTTTTTTTTCTGCACATCTGGAGGCTGTTCAGCCGGGAACAGAACCGGAACAAAAAGCAGCCTCGACTCTCATGAATCATGCCGGTCAGATTCCATTAAACAAAACAAAAGCCCCACATCTCGTTTAGCTCTTAGTTTCTGGGAACAGAATCCTGGGAATCTTGGTTTACTTCCACCAGGGAGAGCGACCCAATGTTGCTTATTGACTTAAATCAATAGGAGATACAATAATAATAATAAAATTGGAAGGGACCTTGGAGGTCATCTAGTCCAACCCCCTGCTCAGGCAGGAAACCCTATACCATTTCAGACAAATGGCTGTCCAGTCTCTTCTTAAAAACTTCCAGTGTTGGAGCATTCACCGCTTCTGGAGGCAGGTTGTTCCACTGGTTAATTGTTCTCACTGTCAGGAAGTTTCTCCTTAGTTCTAGATTGCTTCTCTCCTTGATTAGTTTCCACCCGTTGCTTCTTGTCCTGCCTTCAGGCGCCTTGGAGAATAGCTTGACTCCCTCTTTTGCGGCAATATTGCGGCACTTTTAGGATTAGAAAATATATAATGCCTTTGGGGTGGAACATCTTTGATGCCCCCCCCCAGTGTTCCTGATTCCAATAATATCTGCGCTCCCCTTTCTCTCTCTGTCTTCTGTCTGCAACAGCTGGAGCCCCCCCACTTCCTGCTTTGGGGCTGGCTCTTGAGGGGAAGGGAAATCACAGCTGGAGACTCTGTTGAGTCTGTGCAGTTGGTTTCAATTAAATAGTGACTAAATGGCAAGGTTCAAGGGACTCGGCACATGCCCAGGGGCCCTATTGTTTGCATTTGACCCGATTAGCATTTTCTCTGTCCTAGAAATGCCTTTTTTTTCCCCACTTAATAAAGTGAGCTAGACATGTATTTTTTTTCTTCTTTTCCTTAGCCCGGATCTTGTCCTTCACTTGGCCTTCTATCACAGTGATGGCAAACCTTTTAGAGACCGAGTGCCCAAACTGCAACCCAAAACCCACTTATGTATCGTCGGATGCCGGATGGGCGTGGCTCATTGGGTGGGCGTGGCCCATTGGATGAGTGTGGCCCATTCGGTGGGCGTGGCTGCGGTGGTAACCGCAGACTGGGTGGGACTAACAAGTTCAATCAATCAATTCCAACTTTGCAAGATCTTTTTTTTTCCCGCCAGAAGTTGAAATTGACTGATTGATTGAACCTTTTTTTTTTTTTTTCCGCACACGGGCGGCGGAGGCCTAAAGCGAAAAGGTTTTATAAAACCCAGCTGAAGGCCTAGAACTGGGGCGACGGCGCTCGTGCCCACAGAGAGGGCTCTGAGTGCCACCTCTGGCACCCGTGCCATAGGTTCGCCACCACTGTTCTATCATATTCTCTCCCCGATAGAAATGAGCAACTCAGGAATATCAAAGATTCCAGCGCTTTCGTTATAGAATTGCACCAGCAAAGCCCCCAGGTGTTCCCCCCCTCCCTTGGCCACTCATGGAGACAAGAGATCCAGACCGTTCCAGACTTTTATTAAATCCCCTGTCGATACAAGCTGTACAGTTGCAACTCTGAATTGTCCTGACAGTCAGAAAGGCCCAAGGTGGGATTAGGAGGGAACTGAAATGGTGCTAAAAGAGGGTTGGGTTTCACTTCCCAAGCCATCAGCAACAGCTGTGGGGCGAGGGAAGGTAGGGGAGTGCCACATCTCCCACAGTCCACAGCCTCCCCCCACCCACCCATGTCCTTCCACAAGGATTTCTGGTGGCTTGATTGAAGCTCCATTTGGGGGGACTCGCTCTTTGAAGGTTCTCCGGCCCTTCGGACGCAGATTGAAACGTGAATGGCCGAGAAGAAGCCGCTGGCAACCGGAGCCAAGGCGGCAGGGAATCGGAAAGGAGGCTGAACTGGGCTTGTCCAATCTTCTGGGTCTCGCAAAGTCCGCTGCGGGAAAATTCTTCCCTCCCGGTCCCCAACTGGCATTGTCTATGCGGTCTAGAGAGCTGCTTCTTGATCAAAAAAATGGAGGGGGATGCACTGGTGCCCATGCTTTGACCTCGCCGGCAGGGCTAATTCATACTGCTGGATAAAAAGCTGCTTGCTGTACGAAGAGAAGTAGAAATAAAACAGAAGGGCCGATTCAGAATAAGGGAGCAAAAGCTTGCTCCCGTTTTTTTTCCTTTTTTCACGATCTCCACCCCGCTCTGGCAAAACGCGGCCGAGAGGCTTGCGGTGAGGAGAAGCGGTTTCTTGAATCCAATAGGTAGTGAAAGGAATGGATGCCTGGTCAGATCGGCTGCCAAACGAAGTGGCCTCTGGGCTTATTTTGAGTTGTTATTTAGACCAGGGCTTTTCAACCAGTGGTACGGGTACCACCTGTGGTACATTGGCACCTGGCAGGTGGTACACGACCATCCTAGAAAAGTAGCAGGGGAGGGGAATGAGCTGAACCGGTGGCAGCACCGCACAAGCCTGAGCGAGAGACGGCTGGAGCTGCAGGGCTGTCAGGGCTCAGCGGAAGCGCCAGGATCAGTGCCGCTTTCCAGCTGATTGGCGCTTCTTTGGGGCTGTCAGGGCTCAGGGGAAGTGCCAGGATCAGCGCCAGGCTCCAGCTGGAGCTCGGCGCTGATCCTGGTGCTTTTGCTCAGCCCTGAAAAAGCACCAATCAGCTGGAGCTCAGTCCTGATCCTGGCACTTCTGCTGAGCCCAGAAGAAGCGTCGATCAACTGGAATGTTGCAGCCTCTCCAGGGTCTTGTGATTTACATTCAGATGCTTGGCCACTGATTTATATTTATGACGGTCACAGTGTCCCAGGGTCATGTGAAGTGACCAAAACCTGCTGCAACCACCCAGCAGGGGGGGAAATAAAAAACCAAACACCCCCCCCACCCTCGCTGCCAATCCTCAACAGAAATGCTCACAACAATAAAAACCTCGGACATGAGGAAGAGCGCCGCTGGGTGGGCAGGCAGGTGTCTTGCTCGGCTGTGTCTTGGGGGGGGGCTTTTTTCAGTGCCATTGTAACTTCGAACAGTCACTAAGCGAACTGTTGTAAGTCAATGACTACCTGTACTTTATTACTTTTTTCCTTTTTTTGGGTCATCAAGATTTTGACCCCTTGCTAGGCGACTGGTGGTACTCGGATATTGCCATATCCTAAAAGTGGTACAATGGGTGAAAAGCCCTGATCTAGACAGCCTCAGGACGGCATCCTCAGCCAAACGAGTCTCAGAGGATAGAAAGATACGCTGGTTTTTCCCCCCCCTATTTGGATGGCGGTTCCATATTTAATAACTCCCAGGGAAAGAGCCCCACCCTAGACACAGGCATTTCTGGAGCTGAGATTCCCTGGCAGCCGAGAAGACTTAAGAACCCCCCCCCCAGCACAAGGCTGCCTCTGATTATGTTGCCCTTATGGAAGCACAGATGGTACAAGCATCACAGTACAGACTGCAGCACCACAACACAGAGGGCGATCACACCATGCTACAGTAGTGCAGCTCGTTGTGAAGAGAGGCGCAGATTCTGAGAGATTTGGGGGGGTGGCGCTAAGTCTCCCCGAATTTCTCGGCTGGAAATCCGAACCTGCCGGAGTGCGCGATGCACAGCCACTCATTCATCTTCACCGCACAAGGTGGCCGGACTGCGGAAGCCCGTGTGTGTTGTGCCGGCTCTGGGGAAGAAGGGTCCATACCTGTCTGAACCCTTCTCTTCTGAACCCTTCTCTCGGCACTGGAGCAAAACACACAGATACACAAACGGACACACATGCGTTGTGCTTTGTGCCACTTTCACCGACTGACCTGGGCTGCTGGAAGAAGAGTCGGGACTCACCGTCGTCAGCAGCGCCTCCTGGTGGTCGGCCAGGGCCTGCTTGGCTAGGTAACGCTCCCTCTTGATCTTCACTTCCAGGGACTTGGGGATGTCCGGCACCAGCCAGTCAATCAGGCGCAAGCAGAAGAAGACCACGTGCTGGGAAGAGAAGGAGGGAGGGAGGAGAGCCCGGGGGAGGCCGCCCATCCCTGAATCGTCAGCCCTTACACAGGGGTTCTCAACCTTGGCAACTTTAAGACTTGTGGACTTCAACTCCCAGAATTCCTCAGCCAGCTTTGCTGTCACACAGTGTTATCTTGACGATTATTTTTTGGAATAATAATTCTCGTTTGGGGTGTTGCTAGGAAAGGCAACTTAGCAAGGATTTTTTTCCAGGTCACATCGACAAAACTCAGACTGGGGTATTTGGGTAGGAAAGAGCAACAAAGGACACACACACCCCTTTTACACAATCGCAAGGGGCAGCCCCCGTTGTCTCTCTCCGTAAAAGGACCACCGAGAAACGACAAAAGTGGGGCTGGGGTTCCTCCGATTCCCTGCCAGGAAGCAGAAAAACAGCCTCACCGGATTCCAGGGGGAGGCGAAACCGGTCTGCGGTGCTCTGACCGCAGGATACCACCTCTTACGAAAGGGGAAGTCGAGGCCCGAAACAGGAAGGCCTTGACCGGATCCTCGCCTTACGTGACCACAAGCGTGCAGCAAAACCCAGTACAGGTAGTTCTCAACTTACGACCACGAGCCCCAAATTTC